CCCTTGGTCACTAAGTGTCTAACCTGTGAGAAGTTCATCAGAATTTTCTTTTAGGACTAAATTCTTGAAAGGGAAAAGGCAGAGAACAGGGATGTTATGTGCCAGTTCAGAAAGTTAAAAACCAGTCAGTACTAGTTAAAAAAATGCTTTTAAATACAGATAGTTCTCCACTTCTGAGCATAATTAAGCCTGGAATTACAACAGCAGTCGCAAATTGAGAGAACATGTGACCAGACTTGATTTTTCAGCATTTTATGTGGTGGTCGTTAACACAGCAGTCATTAAGGGACTGCTGCAGTCATTAAGTGAATCCATTTTACCCAATGGGTGTTTGTGCCATTCTAACTTTGATGCTGTATTGCATGTAGCTTTTAGGGAGTCATAATTTCAAGTGGTAGCTAAGCAACTGGATGTAAGTTGGAGAGTAGAAAGATAAAAAGGAAAGATAAAAGATAAAAAATACATTGAAAGATAAAAAGGACAAGTATAGAAAGTGGAAAGAGGGGAACATAACTAAGTCGGAATATCAGCAAATAGCCCGAGCCTGCAAAGATGAAGTGAAGAAAGCCAAGGCTCAAAATGAACTAAAGCTTGCGACCAAAGACAAAAATAACAAAAAAACAAAAAAAAAGCTTCTTTCAACATGTAAAAAACAAGAAAAAGTGAAGGAAATGATTGCTCCATTAGTGGGGGAAAGTGGCAAGAAGGTGACAAGCAACAGGGAGAAAGCAGAACTATTTAACTCATTTTTTGCATCTGTCTTTACACAAAGGGAAAAAACAGACCAACCTACCAAAAATAGTGCCATAAAAAACAGAATAGAAATGCAAGTTAAGATAGGCAAGAAAACGGTAAGTGAGCACCTGTCCAGCCTAGACGAATTCAAATCACCAGGACCAGATGGATTACACCCCAGGGTTCTCAAGGAACTGGCAGATGTGATCTTGGAACCATTGAACTATATTTTTCAAAGATCCTGGAGCACTGGGGAACTACCGGAGGACTGGAAAAGAGCTGATGTAGTTCCCATCTTCAAAAAAGGAAAAAAAATGGACCCAGGAAATTACAGACCTATCAGCCTGACCTCAATACCTGGGAAGATTCTGGAAAAGATAATCAAATAACGAATCAGTGAACACCTAGAGGCAAACAAAGTCATTACTAAAAGCCAACATGGGTTTGTCAAAAGCAGATCATGCCACACAAATCTTATTGCATTCTTTGACCAAGTGACAAAATTAGTGGATCAGAGGAATGCTGTGGATATAATTTACTTGGACTTCAGTAAGGCATTTGATAAAGTAGATCACAACCTACTACTTGATAAGATAGAAAACTGTGGGTTAGACAGCATCACCACCAGATGGATCCGTAGCTGGCTGATCAGCCAAACTCAGCGTGTGGTCCTCAATGGAACCGCATCTACATGGAGGAAAGTGTGTAGTGGGGTGCTCCAGGGCTCTGTTCTGGACTCTTCAACATCTTCATCAACGATTTGGATGAGGGGATAGATGGGGAAATCATAAAATTTGCAGATGACACCAAGCTGGCAGGAATAGCCAACACTCCAGAAGACAGGCTTAGGATACAGGAGGATCTGGACAGACTTGAACACTGGGCGCTATCTAACAAAATGAAATTCAATGGTGAAAAAAGTAAGGTTCTACATTTAGGCAAGAAAAACCAAATGTACAGTTATAGTATAGGGGGTACCTTGCTCAATAGTAGTAACTGTGAGAGGGACTTCGAAGTCCTAGTGGACAATCACTTAAATATGAGCCAGCAGTGTGCTGCAGCTGCCAAAAAGGCCAACACAGTGCTGGGCTGCATTAACAGAGGGATAGAATCAAGATCACGTGAAGTATTAATACCACTTTACAATGCTTTGATAAGGCCACACTTGGAATACTGCATCCAGTTTTGGTCACCATGATGTAAAAAAGATGTTGAGACTCTAGAAAGAGTATAGAGAAGAGCAACAAAGATGATCAGGAGACTGGAGGCCAAAGCATATAAGAAAAGGCTGCTGGAATTGGGTATGTCTAGTTTAATGAAGAGAAGGACAAGGGGGGACATGATAGCAGTATTCCAATATCTCAGGGGCTGCCACAAAGAAGAGGGAGCCGAGCTATTTTCCAAGGCAGGACAAGAAGCAACAGATGGAAACTCATCAAGGAGAGAAGCAACCTAGGAGAAACTTCCTGACAGAACAATTAACCAATGGAACAACCTGCCTCCAGAAGTGGTGAATGCTCCAACACTGGAAGCTTTTAAGAAGAGACTGGACAGCCATTTGTCTGAAATGGTATAGGGTTTCCTGCCTGAGCAGGGGATTGGACTAGATGACCTCCAAGTCCCTTCCAACTTTATTATTATTATTATTATTATTATTATTATTATTATTATTATTATTATTATTATTGTTGTTGTTGTTGTTGTTGTATTGGAACAGAGGCACAAAGCAAAGATGGGTGGGAGTATGGGGGACGCTGCTCCACCTGCTTTTCAAAGATAAAGGTACAGCCTCACTCTGGTTACTGCAAAACTCAAGAACCCAACATATTGCAATGCATACTCCAGCTGATAGAAACCACTGGACTTTTAGAACAGGGAGGAATAATATGGGATCTTCTCAAAAGCTCTCTTATCTCCAAGCAGTGGCCCTGCTGGATAGGAAAGATCACAGCTCTAAGATCTGGAGGGCGACATCAGGCTTTAGATATTTCTTTTTAAGCGCTTTTATGCCACTTCAATCCAAACAACAAGGCATCTTACACAAAAGTAAGGCCTTAAATATAGTTTGCAACCATTTGGAGGAACACATGCACTTGGAATTTCAATAGGTGGCAGAGCCTTCAAGGGTCAAATGGATCACAATTTAAATTGATGTTACGGGTCCTGTAAGAACTTAGTTTATTCACTGGGATGGGGGGGGGAGCATCTGCAAGGAAGGGGTGGTCGAAATCAAGACGGTGGATGGAATGTTGGGATGCAAGCCCCGCCCCTTTGGAATGCCCATGTTCAAAAGGGCTCCCATCTCGACATTCCTTCTTGCCAACTTGCCAATTTCATCCCCCCTTCTCTGGATGACCCTAGAAATACTCAGAGTCAGGAACTGGGATTCTAGCACACTGATCTTCCTGAAACCCTTGAATTATCAACATTTCCACTGCACCCGTAAGCAAGAAAACAGATTGAGCATGGTGTACGTGCACGTTGAAGGGGCAGGATGGGCACATTTTGTCCATCAGGAGTGATAGCAGCATTAAGCTTAGTTGGGCAGTGAACATGGGAACTAGGGCATTGTAATCCCAAAGGTGCTTTTTCATGAGGCAACCGGACTTTGTTTTTCTTGGAAGACGTTTTGCTTCTCATCCAAGAAGCTTCTTCAGCTCTGACTAGATGGTGGGGAATAAATCTTTCCATTCCCCACCATCCAGTCAGAGCTGAAGAAGCTTCTTGGATGAGAAGCAAAACGTCTTCCAAGAAAAACAAAGTCCAGTTGCCTCCTGAAAAAGCACTTTTGGGACAACCCTGATATAAGCTAAGTTAGTGGACCAACACAAGGCAAACACACGCTCCAGTCCACTGACAGCCACAAGCATCCATTGGGTGATTTTGGACCAATTTCCTCTCTTTTACCCCAAGGACTTGGGTGAGGTAGTGGTGAAAATGCTGGACTAGGATTGGGCAGACCCAAGTTGTAGCCCTCTTTCAATCACCACAGTTCAACTAGGTGATTCTGGATCAGTTCCTGTAAGCCCAAGATCCAGTGTTATGTATGGAACTGGAAAAGTTCATAATGGTATTGAAAAGCCAGGTTCTATTCTCTCTTCAGCCACCAAAACTGATTGCTATCACAGAACTGTTGTGGTGGGGAAAACAGGCGAGATGGTTATATACATCGGCTTGAGTTCTCAATGAAAGGGAGAATCTAAACCTAATGCTGAGTCTAATAAATAACTGCTGTACAGGTGATGTTCCACCTCTATCTATAGCGTTAAACCAAATGCAGCTGTCTTGTTTGGCCATAGAGATAGTCCTTGACGTACAACCCTTGGTTAATGACCAGTTACAACAGAACTGAAAATAATAATAATAATAATAACAATAATAATAATAAAGTTGGAAGGGACCTTGGATGTCATCTAGTCCAACTCCCTGCTCAGGGAGGAAACCCTATACCATTTCAAACAAATGGCTGTCCAGTCTCTTCTTGAAAACTTCCAGTGTTGGAGCATTCATCACTTTTGGAGGCAGGTTGTTCCACTGGTTAATTGTTCTAACCGTCAGGAAGTTTCTCCTTTGATTGGTTTCCATCCGTTGCTTCTTGCCCTGCCTTCAGGCACTTTGGAGAATAGCTTGACTGCCTCTTCTTTGTGGCAGCCCCTGAGATATTGGAACACTGCTATCATGTCCCCCCTCGTCCTTCTCTTCATTAAACCAGACATACCCAATTCCAGCAGCCTTTCCTTATATGTTTTAGCCTCCGGTCCCCTGATCATCTTTGTTGCTCTTCTCTGTACTCTTTTAGAGTCTCAGCATCTTTTTTACATCGGGGTAACCAAAACTGGATGCAGTATTCCTAGTGTGGCCTTACGAAGGCATTGTAAAGTGGTATTAGCACTTCACGTGATCTTGATTCTATCCCTCTGTTAATGCAGCCTAGCACTGTGTCGGCTTTTTTGGCAGCTGCAAGCGACTTATGACCATTTGTTGTGCTTACGACCGTTTACAGTATCTCCATAGTCATGTCCTCAAAATCTGGATATTTGGCAACCAGTTCCTATTTATGACGGTCACATGTCCCTAGGTCACGCGATACCCTTTGGCAAACTTCTGACAAGCAAACTCAATGGGGAAGCCAGATTCACTTAACAACCGTCTTATGTCATGACCTTTCTTGACACCGTTGTTAAGTGAATCACTGTAGTCATTTTATTCCACCCTCATAACCAACCCAAGGAATTGCTGAACCACAAAATGATCAGATAACAGTATTTTTTTTCTGTGCAGGTTTTTTCTTTTTTATATATAAACAGATTTCCTACTTTGCAACAAACTCCGCAAGCCAACTCCTTAATCTTCTTTTTTAACATATATATTTATATATACCATATGCTTTTTTTTCTGCCTGATTTTTGCTTTGTTTTTTTTTCCCCCTCCTCATATTCACGGAGGTGTCAACAGGATCAAACAGTACAAATTGTGACTATAAATCCAGTTGGCAACCTTAAAGATATTTTTTTTTCCTTTTTTTTAGGGAAGGACAGGTGACTGGTATATATAGATATCTTTTTTTAAAAAAAATCAGATCTACGTTACTTGCTGTTACAATAGTATTTTATCATTTTAGGAACCATTTATTGTTTTTCTTTTATTTAAAAAAAATTCTGTTCAGAAGTGGGTAGAAGGGAAGGACACAAAATAGAGATTTCTTTTTTTAAAAAAAAAACTCATCTCCTGATTTTTTTTTCTTTTAACCTGAAATCCTAAAACACTGCTGAAGTTTAATTAAAAAATTATATAATATCAAAAAACACACACAAAAAAAGCAACCCTGTTGTCATTCAACCCACCACTATTGCCTTTCCTAACGACCTGGGTTTCAGCTATCATACAAACACCGTACCTCTATACAAACGCGCTTTTAAACTAATAAAATAAAGATTACTTACAAGAAAGAGAAGGGGAAAGAGAAAAAGACAGAGACAGGGAGGGTGACTGAAGGGGGAACTTTTTTTGGGGGGGAGGGGGTGTTTCTGCCCAGTGCCTTACAAAATGGGAAAGTAAAAGAATGTGAGACAATGATTGGAGGAACTGGGTGCCTTGAGTTAAGAGGGCGGGAGCAAAAAGGCATAAATTCGGCATCATGCTTGTTCTCTCGGGGACAAAATGCAGCTAAAAATCCTGTTGGTTGGATTTGCAAGTCCCCAGAAACTGAGATAGATTAAAAAGAAAAAAAAGAAAAGAACGCACCTTGCCTGCAAATGCAAGTTTTTTTCTTTTCTTTTTTTTTTCTGCCTAAGCCCGTTTCCAACCTCGTCACGAAACGGTGCGCTCACTGTCTGCAGGCCGTGTTCAAATTAACTGGCTAGTTCATGCACGGAGTGTGCATGTGTGTGTGTATATGTGTGTGTGAAGCTGACCCGGTGCATTTTTTTTTTCCATTACACCAGACGTACCTCTGACAAGGAGTCCCTCTGGCTATGTTTGCACCCAAACAGGAGAGTGCCCTGGGTTGCAAGAGGCCCAAAACGTGCAGAAGAGACAAGAGAAAAATCTAGGGGGTTTTGTTTTTTTTTCCTTTTAAACAGCCAAACTCAAGGAAGGGTGTGTGCTCCCCACCTCCCTCGAGTCCCCACCCAGGAAAGGGCGACAGAAGTCAGTGAACCCGTGTTAAAAATCTATTATATATATATATATATATATAAAAAAAAATTGCAGGATTTTGCCTGTTAAATCTTAATACGTCCCGGGGGAAAGAAAGGGAGGACAGAGGGAGGGAGACAAGGATGCACCTTTTAGAGCAGTAGCAAGGTTTGGGGTAGAAAAGCCCCCCCCCCCCCAAGTCCCCTGACTCCACTACCTCCTCCCTCCTGCCCCTCCCCTCCCCACATCCCTGCCCTCAAACGGATCCGCAGGCCATGGTTTTGGTGTGTCATTGTTGTCGGGATTCAGAGGGGATTCGGTTTATATAAAAAAAAAACCCCAGAAGAACTGGAGATGCTGAGATTCGTTCGGCGTGTAGGCAGAGGCGAAAAAAGGGGCTACTGCCCTGGGGCATCGCCCACCATTTCAATTCCGTGCTGTTGAAGCTGTGCTCTCAAAAGGGCGTTTTCGTTCTTCAGCTGCTCGATCTATTGCGGAGGGGAGGGGGGAGGAGGAGGAGGAGGAGGAGAAGAAAAGGATGAGTGTCTCAAACTTGGGAAAAGCAGAGTCGAGAATAAGGAAATGCAACTGGGTACTGCAAAAAGGTACAACAGGCGGACCGTAATGGAGCCTGAAATTTCCATCATAGGTCATGACGGTTGTAAGTTGGGGGGGCTCACGTCACCAAGTCAGAATAACAGAATAACAAGAGTTGGAAGGGGCCTTGGAGGTCTTCTAGTCCAATCCCCTGTAGGCAACCTTGGCCCCTTCATGACTGGTGGACTTCAACTCCCAGAATTCCTGAGCCAGCCATGCTAAGGTGAAAGGGAGAGGTTTCCATGCTGAGCCATGCTGGCTCAGGAATTCTGGGAGTTGAAGTCCAGAAGTCATGAAAGAGCTAAGGTTGCCTACCCCTGCCCTTTACCATTTCAGACAATTAGTTGTCCAATCTCTTCTTAAAAACTTTCACAACTTCTGGAGGCAGGTTGTTCCACGGATTAAGTGTTCTAACTGTCAGGAAATTTCTCCTTATTTCTAGGTTGCTTCTCTCTTTGATGAGTTTCCATCTGTTGCTTCTTGTCCTGCCTTCAGGCGCTTTGGAGAATAGCTTTGACCCCCCTTTTGTCTGTGGCAGCCCTCAAATACTGGAACCTTGCTATCATGTCTCCCCTAATCCTTCTTTTCATTAAACTAGGCATACTGAATTCCTGCAATTGTTCATAGTATATTTTATCCTCCAGTCCCCTAATCATTTTTGTTGCTCTTCTCTGCACTCTTTCTAGAGCCTCAACATCTTTTTTTTTTCTATCACAGCGACTAAAACTGGATTTCTATTTTTGTAACTTTTTTTTGTGATAGCTCTAAAGTGGACACCATGGCCATAAAGGAAGTATTTATTCTTAGGGATGTTTTTCAGCAGATACAGGCTGAAAGAAAACACATACCAGGCAGGCAGGTGTATGTGCGCAGATGCAGCCATTTTGTGAAAGCAAAGGGACGTACTCTGTTTATATTATACATGCAAACATATAAACTGCCCGTCTCCTCTTGTTCTGATAGCATTTAACTGCAACAGCTGAAATTATACTTTGCCAGACCTAACAGAATTTGCTCCAAGACCGTGTGACCTGGAAGAAGTCCCTGAAGCAGGACATCTGTACCAAATCACAACTCACTACTGTGACTACAAGTAGCCCTCAACTTACAATTCATTCAGTGAATGTTTAAGATTACAACGGCACTGAAAAAAGTGATTTACAACCATTTTTCACAGTTATGACCTTTGGAGCAGCCCCCTAATCATGGGATCAAAATTCCGAGACATGGCCACTGGTTCATATTTATGACCGTGTCCAGGGATCGTGTGATCCCCTTTTGTGACAAGCCAAGGGGTAAACCACTCATTTAACAACCGGGTTATCAATTTATCAGCTGCGGTGACTCACTTAACGACTTGGGCAAGAAAAGTTGTAAAATGAGGCAAAACCCAACACGTGTTTCACTGAACAACAGAAATTTGGGGCTCCATTTTGGTCGTAAGTCAAGGACTACGTGTACTCGGTTTTATTGCTCTCTACAATCCCAAACCCTGCTCCAAAGCAAGAGGGGAAGAACGTGGGCTGAGCTACCTGTTGCCGTAGCAGGTCATTATCCATCTGAAGCCTCTCGGCTTCCTTGAACGTCTCCTGCATACGCTGGTTCGTCTGGCGCAGCTCCCGGATGTAGTCACAGGCTTTGGAGAGGATGCCCCCTTTGCTCTGGAAGAGAGAAAAAAGGACCAAGCCCTCAACTGGGTGACCCCCTTCTGCTCTGCCTCAACTTGGATGGGAAGCATCTTCACGATCACCAGACTTCTCTAAGGTCCTTCCTCCTTTACACACCTTCAAATATGCAAGGAATAGCTGGTTCTGTTTTTAGGATGGGACTTATTTATTTGTGACTGGCGAATGGAATATGAATAGAATAGAGTAGAGTAGAGTACAGTAGAGTAGAACAGAATACTGGACTGGACTGGACTGGACTAGACTAGACTAGGAGCTGGAAGGGACCTTGAAGGTCTTCTAGTCCAGCTCCCTGCTCAAGCAGGAGAACCTATACCATTTCAGACAAATGGTTGTCCAGTCTCTTCTTAAAAACTTCCAGTATTGGGGCATTCACAATTTCTTGAGGCAGGTTGTTCCACTGATTAATTGTTCTAACTGTCAGGAAATTTCAGATAAATATTGATTTATTTGAATTTACAGAGCTTGCTGTTATAGTCAAAAAGTAAGCGTTAAATGCTGTTTTCTATCTGCCTGAGTCAACCTCAGTGCCTGGTGACGTCTTTATCTCTGTCTTGAAAACCACAAAGAAATTGTTCATCACAGACTTTCCTCAAGATGGTTGAAGTTGTTTCCATCACAACCACACTCACTCACACACACACTTCCTAGAGCTTTAGGACTATTTATGGACCTGGTAGCTTCCCATTCGAGTACTAATGAGGTCCAAGCCTCTTAACCTTTTGAGTTTAGGCAAAACTGGCCAACTGTGGCCACAGCTTCAGGACTTCTCAGGTGGAAAAGGTGTCTTGTGGGGTTCTACTCAGCTAAGGAGAAATCACTAGGAATAAATGTCTGCAAATCTATGGAATTCTTCAAGCAGGAACTCTCAATTATGACTGTGCCAGGTTATGAAAATGTAGAAACAACAGCTCATTTGCATGTCTTCCTCCTTCTACTGCAGGGGTCTTCAAACTTGGCCCTTTTATGACTTGTGGACTTCAACTCCCAGAATTCCTCAGCCAGGCACACTGGCTGAAGAATTCTGGGAGTTGAAGTCCACAAGTCATGAAGGGGCCATAGTTCCCCCATGCTGGCTGAGGAATTCTGGAAGTCCACAATCATAAAAGGGCCAAGTTTGAAGACCCCTGTTCTACTGAGTTGGATGACATTATCTATCTCCCATTAGAGTAAAATAAGTGGGATCTCAGCCTCCCAACTAATCAATTAGCTATTTCAGAAGACTGCAAAGGTAATCTCATTGCTACCATCACTGGAATTAATGAATAGACAGACTGTCAACTGAAGAGCCAGGGATAGGTCAAGGTAGTGGTAGATATCAGGGTCCATGCCAGAATTTCTGTAGTCTCTGCTACCTCAAAGATGCCAATAGTTTGGAATTCAAGATCAGAATTATTTGGTATAGTTCTTTTTATCAAAAGTGCAGTAGGAGAAAGGGATTGCTAACTTTCTTCCTAGTTATCGTCCCCCCAAAATTGGACTATAACTTCTCATTATCTTGAGCAGGCAATGGCCCCACAACTCAATACTCAAGCAGGAGCGGATGTTTCCACATGATATAATCTGACTGAACAGTACTGGTGGTTCCAATTAGTCTACAATTCTGCTATCTATAGGCAGGCCAATGAGGCTGTAATTACCCAAAACAATTTAAACAAGATAACACAACAGGGAAAATTCATCTGGGAAAAACAATCGGGCAAAGTCTCCAGCCTTGCTGGAACCATGGAAGGGTGACCTGGGGCATCTCTTCACGAGAGAAGCCTAACATCTCCTCCCCAAAGCAAAACATTGTTCCTTCTGGGCTACCCACCCCCCAAGCAACTGCCCTCACCGCCCCTGTCTTGCTGTTGTCTGTATTGCAGTCTGGAATGATTTTTGACAGCTGTACGATCCAATTGTTGATCTTGTCCCGCCTCCTCCGTTCAACTAAAAGAAAAAGAAAAAAAAAGATGCGGATCAAATATGGCAACCTGACAATAACATGTGGAAGGACGGAATGACTGGCGTTAGAGTCTGGGCAACATGTGTTCCATCAGATGTTGCTGAACTACAATTCCCAGCATTCTTCTCCAATAGGTGGGATGTCAGGAGCCAATAGGTACTGGAAGTTCACTATCTGGAGCGCTTCCTTCCTTTGCCAATTTGGAAAAATAGTAATAATACTTATATACTGCTTCAGAGTGCTTTACAGCCCCTCTCTAAGCGGTTTACAGAGTCAGCCTATGGCCCCCAACAATCTGGGTCCTCATTTTACCAACCTTGGAAGGATGGAAGGCTGAGTCAACCTTGAGCCAGTCAGGATCAAACTCTTGGCTGTGGGCAGTTAGCCTGAAATACTGCATTCTAACCACTGCGCCACCATGGCCCTTTCCAAGAATTGGAAAAAGGGAAAGAACTTGGTCTTTCTAAATCAGTGGTTCTCAACCTTTTTAATGCCGCGACCCCCAACCGGTCGTAAGTCGAGGACTACTCAACCGGTCGTAAGTCGAGGACTACTCAACTGGTGCAGCACCGTTTGCAGAATGGGACTTTTGGTGGGCTCAGCAGGGCAGAGACAGCCTGGACAAGTCCTATTGGCTTTTGAAAGCCAATAGAATTAGACTCTATTCAAGAGAGTCTATTCTATTGGCTTTCAAAAGCCAATAGAATAAAAGGGAGTAGCACAGCTAAGGAAAAGGGGGAAAAAATGGCGGACTGCATTGTTTGGCGACCCCCGTGAAATGGTCGTTCGACCCCAAATGGGGTCCCGACCCACAGGTTGAGAACCACTGTTCTAAATCATGTTTTATAGAGCAGGGGTAGTCAACCTTGGCTCTTTTATGACTCGTGGACTTCAACTCCCAGAATTTGCTCAGGAATTCTAGGAGTTGAAAGTCCACGAGTCATAAAAGAGCCAAGGTTGACTACCCCCGTTTTAGAGCAATGCTTCCTCATCTGATTAGGGCACAAATCTGGAGACTGGAGAGAACTCCCTCAGCTTTGCTGGTCTGCCTACCTTCGTTGTGTTGAGCTCTTCTCCTCTCATCCCGGGGCGTTCGCGTCCCGTCCATTTTCCTAGAATTTGAAGGGAATGAGTTGAACGAATCAGAAGGCCAGCAGCTTTCAGAGACCCTGTCCCCATCTCAGAACCTTTTCTATTATTTTAAAAGACGAAGTTAAAAAGTGCCAAATCTTACGTCAACTCCTTTAACACAGATGGGAGTATCTTAAGAATCAAGAAATGGGGGAAGCTAACTCTGAATAGAATAGACCTGGAAGGGACTTTTGAGGTCTTCTAGTCCAGCCCCCCCCCCTTAAGCAGGAAAACATACACCATCTCAGACAGGTGATTGTCTAGTCTTTTCTTAAAGATCTCCAGCAATGGGGCGCCCACAATTTCTGGAGATAAGCTGTTCCACTAGTTGATTGTCCTCACTGTCAGGAAGCTTCTCCTTAAATCCAGGTTGCTTCTCTCCTTAATCAGTTTCCAACCATTGTTTCTTGTCCTTCCCTCTGGTGCTCTGGTGACCCCCTCTGCCTTGTGGCAGCCCCTCAAATACTGGAATACTGCTATCATGTCTCCCCTATTTCTTCTATTCTTTAGACTAGCCAAGTCCCGCAGCCATTCTTCATATGTTTTAGCCTCCAGGCCTTTGATCATCTTAGTTGCTCTTCTCTGGATTTTTTCTAAACTCTCAACATCTTTTTTTGTGATATGGGGACCAAAATTGGCTGCAGTATTCCAGGTACTCCTCATGGACATCCTGAATTGGAAGGAAGAGGATTGCCGAAACAGAGAGTTTGTTTTTCTACAACTGTCAGAAATGCAACAATTAGGGTGGACCCTTTCTCCCTATTGCCTCCATAATGTTGCAAAGTTCAACAGTTTTGGAAAATGGTTTACATCTTTTTTTTTTCCCCTTTCTCAAAGATGTTTTCAAAAGAATAACAAAACAAACAAACAAACAAACAAACAAGGAGTTAGAAGAAGAAATATCCACATTCTTTTCTGGGAGAAAACAAGTGTACTTGAGCAACAATTGTGAAGTTAGACAAGCTTTCAAGACTGAAGGCAACCCTTTCAAGTAGGCCAGGTCAAGAAACAGATATGGCAAGGATTCAAGGACTTGTGTTGATTGTAATACGGTAGGATAAGAGTCTCGAGCAGAAATTTTACTCTTAGTCACCCATGTTACAAGAATGTTGCCAGGCTGACTGCATTCCCTTGGGAATGGTCAGATAAGGCTTCAGGGATGATAACAACAATAACAACAAAAATAAAATAACAATAATAATAATAATAGTTGGAAGGGACCTTGGAGGTCATCTAGTCCAACCCCCTGCTCAGGCAGGAAACCCTATACCATTTCGGACAAATGGCTGTCCACTCTCTTCTTTAAAACTTCCAGTGTTGGAGCATTCACAGCTTCTGGAGGCAGGTTGTTCCATTGGTTAATTGTTCTCACGGTCAGGAAATTTCTTCTTAGTTCCAGGTTGCTTCTCTCCTTGATTAGTTTCCATCTGTTGCTTCTCGTCCTGCCTTCAGGCGCTTTGGAGGATAGCTTGACTCCCTCTTCTTTGTGGCAGCCCCTGAGATATTGGAACACTGCTATCATGTCCCCCCCCTCGCCCTTCTCTTCATTAAACTAGACATACCCAATTCCAGCAGCCTTTCCTTATATGTTTTAGCCTCGTCCTCTGATCATCTTTGTTGCTCTTCTCTGTACCCTTTCTAGAGTCTCAGCATCTTTTTTACATCGTGGTGACCAAAACTGGATGCAGTATTCCAAGTATGGCCTTACCAAGGCCTTGTAAAGTGGTACTAACACTTCACGTGATCTTGATTCTATCCCTCCGTTAATGCAGGCTAGCACTGTGTTGGCTTTTTTGGCAGCTGCAGCACACGGCTGGCTTTTGAGGAAGTTAATCCTGTGCTTCTTTCTGCAGTGCAAAGACTCTAATCTCGGCCCTTCCTTCACCCCTCCTCCCAGCCTAGCTGGAAATTCCACCCCACAAATCCCCCAGTAATGGTCTGATCCATTCTTCCTTAGCTGCCTTCCTTTATGTTCTGACACACCTGCTTTCTTTCCTCCCCGACACCAGCATTACCTGCTTGTGGTCCCACTTGTTCTGCCTTCTTCCAGCTCGCCTCCCTCCTCCCCCCCCCAGCCACACTACAGAATGTCCAGAACTTCCTTGACTGCAAGACCCTGATTGAAACTTCAAGCGTGTGTCCAAAGCAATACGTACGGGGAATAGGGGTGGGTGCGGGGAGCTATCGTACGTTGCGTTCCCGTCTGCAACACGTCTTGGGGGGTCATCATCACGTAGAACTGACCTGAGGGAGAAGGTTTAGGCCACCAAATAAATAAATAAAAATTGGGGGGAAAGGGGGGGGGGAGAGAGGATGTCTGCAAGAAAATATTGCAATGCCGAATGTTTGCATGAGAAGACCTAGCTGTTGATTTTTGTCCATCTGCCACCCCGCCCCCATTCCCAATTTTCCTCCTCCTTCTCACAATAAATCTGAAATTTGGCTATTGAGATAGTCTGTCTTCCCTGGGCTGTTCCTTTATCTCTTCTACTCCCCCCTCCCCACAAAAAAAAAAAAACAGTTTCAAGGAATGGATGTAGTTATTGCCTATGTGTGGCAATACTAAACACATGGCTATTTTTATATATATAAGAAACTATTCACTGATTTGCTAACATAAGGAGCTAAACCGAGCTTGGATAGTTTACAATTTATTGACTTGTGGGGCGGACCCACAATCTTAACATGTGGTGTCCATTAGACCAAGTCAGATGGTTTATTTGTCTGGAGTAAAGCCTGTTAGGTAAACAGAGCAACTATTTTGTTCATCAGAATTTTAACCTGTGGCGCTGTGATCTTTTCTTGTAATCAATATAGTTTTGACTCTTTTTTTCATAGAATATAACAACTATGAACATCTAGCTAGATAGTAGCATTTAATTAGTCTGGGCTAATTTTGATAAGGTAAACAGGATCCAACTTAGTTTTGTTTTTGCATTTGCGGACACCAGGAAATTCCAAGAAGGAAAGCCGAAACAACATTCTAGAAAAAAAGCAATGAAAAACTATTTTTGTATCTGGTGGCCAAGAATACTGATTCCAATGATGTTTGTAAGCCGAAGACTTCAAAGACACTTCAAAGAAAGGTTTGGATTTGTAGATTATTCAGCAACTTTGCCCCACAATGTTATTTAGCTTCTTTCTGCCCTCTAGAACTGGGGATCTCAACACCCAGCCTTCTCAAAGAACAAGACCAGTATTGAAATTCACAGGTCTGAAAGCCACCCAGATGAGGAAGACTAGCCTTGGAAAAACAAGCAAAGAGACAGGAATGGCCTAGTACAGGAGTAGGCCACCTTGGCTCTTTTATGACTCGTGGACTTCAACTCCCAGAATTCCTGAGCCAGCCATGCTGAGGGGAAAGGGAGAAGTTTCCATGCTGAGCCATGCTGCCTCAGGAATTCTGGGAGTTGAAGTCCACGAGTCGTAAAAGAACCAAGGATGCCTACCCCTGGCCTAGTAGTTTAAGGTACCAGCAATAGTCTTGCTTTAGGCATGACAAGCCGGCTGGGCCAATCACCAGGAGACTGTGAGTTCTAGTCCTGCCTTAGCTGTGGAAGCTGACTGAGTGACTTTGGGTCAGTCCTTCTCTCTCAGCTCAAGTTACTTCACAAGATGTGGAGAAAATAGGAGGAGAAAAGAATACTGTGCGTGTTCACCCCCTTGAGTTATTTATAAAAATAATACAAGCAGGATAATAAATACACACTGATAGTCTTTGACTTAATGACCACAACTGAGCCAAAAGTTTCTGTTGCTAAGCAAGGCAATTCGTTGAGTGAGTTTTGCCCCATTTGACAAACTTTTTGCCCCAGCCATTAAGCGAATCCCTGCAGCTGTTAAGTGAATCATGAAGTCGTTAAGTGAATCTGACTTCCCCCCATTGACTTTGACCATTGGAAGCCAGCTGGGAACGTCGCCAATGGTGATCACATGACTCTAGGACAGTGCAATGTCATAAGTACATGCCAGTTGCCAAATGTTCGAATTTTGATCAAGTGAACATGTCCTAAATCACTTTTTTTTCAGTGCCGTTGTAACTCTGAATGGTCACTAAACAAATGATTGTTAAGTCAAGGACTACCGGCAAATAAATATAAAGGTAGGCAATACCTGGACCCTCCTAGGGATTGTGATTCCAATCCCCATCAGCTCCAGATAGTATGGTCAATGACTGGGGATGGCAGGGGTGGCAGCTCAAGAAAAGTGGAGGCCATCAAAGCACCTTTCTGGGGCCCCTGATTTCCTACCTCCAGCTTGTGTCAGCGACTGATCAGTTGTCTGTACGGACACTGCGGTGGCATCCCCCACGGTGGAAGCAGGGAAGTATGCAAAACGGGCTTCACCGCTCACAGCATCTGTGGCTGGGCTCCCACCATTACTGAAAGGGTTCTGAATCACAGCCTGGAAACAGAAGGGGGATGCATTTGTGGACCTGTGCGCAGCAAAAACCAAACCACTCAAAGCAAGATAAATAATGCAGAAAGAGCAAGGGGAAGCCTTGAGTCTACCGCACGGGATGATTGACACCGAAAACCCAGCCCTAACTGTTATTCATGCTGGCTAGGAGTGATCAGAGTAGCTGGCCAACAGCTGGGTCTAAACATTAGGAATGCTCAATTGAGTCAAGATTTTGTGCTAAGTATGACACGGTCCAGAAACAGCTTTCCATTAGTAGAGGAGAGAGGAAACCAAGGAGTGAAGCTGTAGTGATTAACTCAAGGTATACACTGCCCTCTTGTGTTTAAGAACGGGTAACAGATTAAAAACAGCCAGTTTGGTGTGCTGATAGAAAGTGGGAGATGGTGAGTTCTAGTCCTGCTTTAGGCAAAAAGCCATCTGGCTGATTTTGTGCCAGTCACTTTCTCTCAGCCCCAGGAAACAGACAACGGCAAACCACTTCTGCAAAGTCTTGCCAAGAAATTTGCATGGATACCATATGTCTGCAAGCAAAGTCATTGAAAAAGAAGAAGGCAAAGTGCTTCTGGATTTTAGAATTCAACACACAAGCACCCACTACACAACACCCCAGACTTAGCAACTTGATGAGAAAGAACTGGAGAAAAATCACAAAACACAAAGACCTGCAAACAGAAGTAGAACAACTGTGGCAAAAGAAAGCAAAGACGTTCCAATAGCGATAGGGCCTTGGGTGTTCATACCAAAACATCTGGAGCACCACTTGAACATCACTGGCATTGACAAAAATCACCGTTAAAGTGATTTTTGCAAAAGGCAGCTTTACTCAGAAGAGCTTACATCCTCTGACGCCATCAAACCACAACATCTGTCTATCTCAGGACCTTTGGAAGGACTTGACAGGTGTTTAAAATAGCAAATCCAGTCTGAACATCTGGTTACATCTGTGCGACCAATCATAACAATAATACTAATACTGGGGTTAGCCAAACCACTTCTCACCTGAGCAACAGCTTGCTGACCACTGGTGAAAGCTGCGGTTGAGACCACACTAACGGCCCCCGTTGCATCCGTTTGTCCATCCAGCTGACTGTCCGTCACCTGAACTACTCTGTATGTCACCTGGGGAGAAACAGCAGAAGCCATGTCATGCTTCTGGCTGAAGCAGTATTTATAAAGATGGGGAAGAATAAGGCGATGTTCCAACCCCCTTGAACAGGGGTAGGCAACCTTGGCTCTTTTATGACTCGTGGACTTCAACTCCCAGAATTCCTGAGCCAGCCATGCTGAGGGGAAAGGGAGAGGTTTCCAAGCTGAACCATGCTGGCTCAGGAATTCTTGGAGTTGAAGTCCACGAGTCATAAAAGAGCCAAGGTTGCCTACCCCTGCCCTTGAAGATCTCAAACCATCAAACCCTGCTATAGGGTGATTTCCACAATGAAAAACGCTTTTGTTTTTTGTTTTTGGAGTGCAATGAAATCAATCAGAAACGGGAGCGAATTCCCATAAGCTAGGCCAGGGGTAGACAACCTTGGCTCTTTTATGACTCGTGGACTTCAACTCCCAGAATTCCTGAGCCAGCACGGCTGGCTCAGGAATTCTGGGAGTTGAAGTCCACGAGTCATAAAAGAGCCAAGGTTGTCTACCCCTGAGCTAGGCGTTTGCCCGCTGTATCCCATCATCTTCAAATTGCAAGGGAGGCTGTCTTTAATTGCTGGAACTCCATCCAAAGTCCCAAATCCAACCTTCCCAACACGGGCATTACCTGTCCACCATTGTTCTCTGTTCGAAACTGATACTGAATATTATGGTCTGCAAAAGCTGCTTGCTGGACACTGGCAATGGCCACTGCGGTCTGTTCATCTGCATTTGTGCCGTCCCCTGCAGAGAAAGGAAAGAGATTTCAGTTGACAGCTATGACCAATGGACCAGAAAGCTTAACAACATCCAGTGAATTCTAGATCTCTGACAGACAGGAAACCAGGTTGGGAGGGTATGGATTTGTGTCAGGGACTGCAGAAGGCTGATTTTTTTGGGGGGGGGGAGCTGCTCTTGAGAGTGGAACTCTCACTATCAGCCTATTTCAAACATCAGCCGTAGCAGGATTGAATATTTTCACATTTACATCAGGCTGATCTGGATTGCGATTTTAATGTCCATTGTTCTCTTCTATCTGGGATGTACAGCTGTGACAGCCAGTGGGGCATTTGGAAGAGAAGAAAGTGCACAGGCAGTCCTCGACTTACAACAGTCCATTCAGTGGCTGTGTTGAAGTTACGACTGCGCTGAAAAAAAGGGACTTGTGATTGTTTTTCACGCTTAACGACCGTTGCGGCCTTCCCCATGGTCACGTGAATCAAAATTCAGACACACTTGGTGCTCCTCTTTATTTATTTATTTATTTTATTTATTTACAAATATTTATATGCCGCCCAATCCCAAAGGACTCAGGGCGGCGTACAAAGTTAAAACAGTCATAAAACAATAAAATAATCCAGTCATACCGCGAGTCCGATCATATCCCGGCCCCCCGGGGACATCAGCCCCAGGCCTCATAAAAGAGCCAAGGTTGTCTACCCCTGAGCTAGGCGTTTGCCCGCTGTATCCCATCATCTTCAAATTGCAAGGGAGGCTGTCTTTAATTGCTGGAACTCCATCCAAAGTCCCAAATCCAACCTTCCCAACACGGGCATTACCTGTCCACCATTGTTCTCTGTTCGAAACTGATACTGAATATTATGGTCTGCAAAAGCTGCTTGCTGGACACTGGCAATGGCCACTGCGGTCTGTTCATCTGCATTTGTGCCGTCCCCTGCAGAGAAAGGAAAGAGATTTCAGTTGACAGCTATGACCAATGGACCAGAAAGCTTAACAACATCCAGTGAATTCTAGATCTCTGACAGACAGGAAACCAGGTTGGGAGGGTATGGATTTGTGTCAGGGACTGCAGAAGGCCTGCTCTTGAGAGTGGAACTCTCACTATCAGCCTATTTCAAACATCAGCCGTAGCAGGATTGAATATTTTCACATTTACATCAGGCTGATCTGGATTGCGATTTTAATGTCCATTGTTCTCTTCTATCTGGGATGTACAGCTGTGACAGCCAGTGGGGCATTTGGAAGAGAAGAAAGTGCACAGGCAGTCCTCGACTTACAACAGTCCATTCAGTGGCTGTGTTGAAGTTACGACTGTGCTGAAAAAAAGGGACTTGTGATTGTTTTTCACGCTTAACGACCGTTGCGGCCTCCCCCATGGTCACGTGAATCAAAATTCAGACACACTTGGTGCTCCTCTTTATTTATTTATTTATTTTATTTATTTACAAATATTTATATGCCGCCCAATCCCAAAGGACTCAGGGCGGCGTACAAAGTTAAAACAGTCATAAAACAATAAAATAATCCAGTCATACCGCGAGTCCGATCATATCCCGGCCCCCCGGGGACATCTGCTTTTAACGGCTTTCTTAAAGGCCGGCAGGGTGGGAGTAGTTCTCGGGGGGAAGTTGATTCCACCAGGTCGGAGCCACCACAGAAAAGGCCCTTCCCCGGGGGCCCGCCAGCCGACATTGTCTGGCTGACGGGACCTGAAGGAGGCCCAATCTATGGGACCTCACCGGTCTCTGGGAGCTGTGCGGCAGAATATGATAATGTGGTCGCCCTTTGTAACCTTCTTACAGGCCACGCCAGTGGGAAGGCCAGATTCATTTAACAACCGGAGGGCTAGCTTCACAACTGCAGTGTTTCACTTAACGGCTGGGGCGAGAAAGGTCATTCAATGGAGCAAAACTCACTCAACTGTCTTGCCCACCAACAGAAATGTTGGGTTTGTGAGTCGAGGGCTCACATGTAGGTTGCCCACTTTGGAACCCCACAGAGCTGAGCGTGTGTCAAAACGCTGTGCAAACCTGGAGCACATGTTACCTTTCGAACTGATCTTAGTAGTGTGGTTGTGGGATCAGGGGAGGCAGACTGAGAACTCCTAGCACAGGCTTGCTTGACTGCCATGAGAGTGACGGCACATTACACACCTAACGGGGAACAGAATCCGGAGCTCTCCAAAGGCATAACCCAGGGATCTTCAAACTTGGTCCTTTTATGACTTGTGGACTTCAACTCCCAGAATTCCTCAGCCAGCGTGCCTGGCTGAGGAATTTTGGGAGTTGAAGTCCACAAGTCATAAAAGGACCAAGTTTGAAGATCCCTGATGTAGACCCTCTTCCTATCCATTCCTTTTCCTATCCATTCCTTTTTGCCCTGCAAAACTGGCAGAACTGGCCAACTGTGGCCACAGCTTCAGGGTTTCTCAGGTGGAAAAGGTGTCTTGTGGGGTTCTACTCAGCAAAGGAGAAATCACTAGGAATAAATGTCTGCAAATCTATGGAATTCTTCAAGCAGGAACTCTCAATTATGACTGTGCCAGGTTATGCAAATGTAGAAACAACAGCTCATTTGCATGTCTTCCTCCTTCTACTGCACAGGTCTTCAAACTTGGCCCTTTTTTGACCTGTGGACTTCAACTCCCAGAATTCCTCAGCTTGAGCCAGCCTGGTGTATGGCAGCTGCTGCCCAGACAAGAGAAAGCCAGTGGGGATTGGTGTGGTTGTCAACAAAATTTTTCCTTTCAGAACAGTCAGTTAGAAAGTTGGCCTTTTCCAACAAATTAACCCAGTGGCTTTGATCGGTAGTTGCTTTTAAACCATGGGTCTTCAAACTTGGCCCTTCCTGGCTGAGGAATTCTGGGAGTTGAAGTCCACAAGTCATAAAAGGGCCAAGTTTGAAGACCTCTGGTATAACCAGCTGTGGTCTGGTTATATGTGCAGGACTCTGGGCTTCCTTGAGACAAGGGACAGTCTCCCTTGCAGATGGATAGTTCTCCTCTCTCTCAAATTAGTATTCAACAGTGTATTTTGTACCCTGTGTGTGCTAGGCCGCAAAAACCTAAGCATGCTAACAGCAGCGAGAATTGTATTTGCTCAGCACTGGAAAAATGAAAAAAAAAAAAAAACACCGTTGGAGGAAGAGATAACCAAGAAAATGCTGGACTGTGCTGAAATGGACAGACTGACACTGAGAATCAAAGAAAAAGAAGACGCGGAATATTTTCAAACACAGAACTTATTTTATCAAGGGCTGGGAAAACGAGATGGAGAGCTATTACTAAGCAAAAAATTAACCCAGACAACACGTAGTTCATTAAGCACCACTGAATCACAATAATAGAAAATTAATAAAATAGTTTAAACAACAACAACAACAACACAAGCATGCTAGATTTTGGCTGCAAAAACCTCTGCAAACTAGATCCAGACAGAAGGCAAGACAGCTATGCTCTCATTTTTATACTTTGGGATCCCCGGCTGCAGAAATCCCAGCCACGCAACATATTTGGGGGATTTCTGGACCCCCAAAGTTTTCCTCACCTTCCCGTAGCTCAACTCCATCTTCACTTTCTTGATCTTTCTCGTGGCTGAAACACAAAAGGAAGAACAAGAGTTCAGCTCTATTTCCTTCCTGCCAGATGTGGGGAGGGAACTCAGCAATTAAGCATGCAGGATTTTTTTTTTTTTAACCCTTGTAGGATCAAAATGAGTCAGATGAAAAGTTTTAGCAGCACAGAATCACTCCCCCCCCCACACACATACCTTCAAATGGCTGCCTCCTTTTTAAGGAATTTTGCAATGCAATTGCCTTGTAATTAACAGCAACACAGAAGTTGCAAAACAGCCTTGGTTTGCTACCCTGTATTATAGGAATGCTGCAGCACAGCGCACTTCGAATTTTAGTCTCCAGCCCTGGTGTTCACCTGTACAGAAAGGCTTCAGAGGCCAAGGATGGAACTTTTGGCAAGGAAAAAAAGATCCTGGATGGGCCAGGGTTACAATTCATGATCAATAAGCTTCTTGGTCTCGGGTTCCCCAAATGAAGGGCGGAAATCAAATGGCCAATGAGTGGTTGAGGACTTCAAAAGAGCAGGAGTTGAAAACATGGTCAGTTGAGAGGGGAGCTTCAGCTCTTGGGACCTGCAAAGCAGAATGTACACCTCCCCCCCACTCACCCCACCATGCTCAACTGTGCAATGAAACAACATTGTGTGCAACTGAAAAGATGCCATCACCTGCAGCTTTCTCCTCCTTACAGAATTCTTTAGGATAGAATAGAGCTGGAAGGGACCTTGGAGGTCTTCTAGTCCAGCCCCCTGCTCAAGCAGGAGAACCTACACCGTCTCAGACAGGTGAATGTCTGGTCGAGGGGTAGGCAACCTTGGCTCTTTTATGACTCGTGGACTTCAACTCCCAGAATTCCTGAACTAGCCATGGTCTAGTCCAGGGGTAGGCAACCTTGGCTCTTTTATGACTCATGGACTTCAACTCCCAGAATTCTTGAGCCAGCATAGCTGGCTCAGGAATTCTGGGAGTTGAAGTCCATGAGTCATAAAACAGCCAAGGTTGCCTACCCGTGGTCTAGTCTCTTCTTAAAAATCTCCAATGATGGAGCGCCCACGATTCTCTCAGTGCAGAATTTCAAGGACCCAAGCTGGGGATTTGTCATTGTGTAGAGAGTCCTTGGTGCTCTCTGACCTTGGTGGTTGGCTTGCAGACATGATGGATTGATGATGTTATCTAGTTGGGTAATGAAACTGCACCCAAACAACCAAACTCAGAGAACACCAAGGACGCCACAGTTCAACCCTCAGCTGCAGAGTTTCTTCTCTATTAGACTGCAATTCTTCCTGCCCCAGTATGGAACATCTCCCACTAATTCAAGAGGTCCGCTTGGTGTAATAAACCCACTTTTGCTAGGTGAGATGGCGCTTACATCAACTGATGGATTGAGGCCCAAAGAAAGCCTCACCTTTGCAGGGTGCCACAGCTATCATTTCCATTTCCTCCTGGAATCCATGGACCTCAAGACTGCACCCCCAGGAAATGTCTGGGCTAATATCAACCACCAAGTTCAACTTTCCCATTTGAGAGACTGGAAGGAGAAACAGCTTTACAGCTCCGGAATCCTTCGCTCATGGCAGAGAGTGATAAGGATAATCAGTTATTGCAGAACAGGCTGAAAGCACAAGGCAGAGGGGCAAAGGTGTCCAAAGGAAGGTATGGCAGTTACCGGATATATTGGTGGATAAGCCCATCCAGATAAGATAACCCTCACATTTTTAACCCAAATACCACGAAAAATATGCCACTCGTGGAAAAGCCAACCCACATTTTTCATGGTATTTTGGTTAAAAACTGGGGGAGGGTGTCAGCTTATCTAAACATGTGCATTACACGATATACAAGTACTTTTATAAAGGGTTATTATGTATACTTGCAGATAAGCCCATTCGTGGATGAGCCGAACCAATTTTTTTTTTTGGGGGGGGGGGCATTTTGGCTTATTTGCAAATATATATGGTAACCAAGACCGAATTAAATAGGCTTAGAACAGGGGTCTTCAAACTTGGCCCTTTTATGACTTGTGGACTTCAACTCCCAGAATTCCTCAGCCAGGCATGCTGGCTGAGGAATTCTGGGAGCTGAAGTCCACAAGTCATAAAAGGGCCAAGTTTGAAGACCCCGGGCTTAGAAGAATCCTTTCCCCCTCTGGGGTCATATTCCCCAAGGGACAATCCATTAAGGACCTGTGACATAATGGGTGGGCTACGGGCTTATTTTTTCCTTCTACTTCTAAATGCTAAATGCATTTCTGCTAAATGCATTTCTTTCCTACTTGCATAATTTGAACCTGCCCTCCAAAGGAGAGCTATTTATTTATGTTATGTGTTTGTTTATTTGATCAATTTATGTAGCTGCCTATCTCACAATGGGAACTCTGCAGGTCTACGTGGGATCAAAAACCAAAGTTTCAGGCTATTGGAGGGACTGTGCATTTCAAAATGTTTCTGCTCATCCTATCAGAATTAGATATTCTCTATTAAGCAATGCCATCTTTGCTAATTCTGCCTTCTCTGTTGCAGAACATGCCTTATGAAGCATAATCGCTCCCCAACTATGTTAGTCTTCCGTAAAGGTTTTAAAGACCTGGATGTTCCCTAAACTTTGAGTTTAGCGGCAGAACAGGCTCTAACGGTTAATTGGCTTCTTCTTCTTTTCTTTGTAAATGGAATTATTTTGGCAACCTCAGACATTTGTTAGTTAGATGGTTTTGTTGCTATCGTTGGTTATAGTTATTTCCACGAGATGGGCAGGTATGGAAGTCATTTGAGTGGACACCAGTTCAAAACACAAAGGAAAAAAAAAATCAGTAAAGAAATACAAGGAGTCCTTGCTTAATGGCCACTCAAAATTATGACGGTGCTGAATGAGTGATGAAGTTCTGGCCCTCCCACGGTCTCATGATCATGGTCTGGATAGAATGCACTCTGTTTGTACTTAGGAGGGAGACCATGTCCCTGTGGTAACCACTTGAGACCTTCCCTGCCAGCTTCCCACAAACAAAGTTAATGGGGAAACAGGCTGGGAAGGGTACAAGACGCTACCGTCAAGTGGTTCACATTCCCACGGCTTTTTCTTGGGTTACAAGGTCCCAAGAATGTTGCATTCCATAGCAAGTGTACGCAGCATTGCTCCTGTGCACCCTATTGTTCTGGGGGCAAGGGCGGAGACGTGGAAAAAAGGCTTTCCAGGCCTTGGGAAATGACACTGTTTAACACAGTGGTTCTCAACCTGTGGGTCGGGACCCCATTTGGGGTCGAACGACCATTTCACGGGGGTCGCCAAACAACGCAGTCTGCCATTTTTTTCCCCCTTTTCCTTAGCTGTGCTACTCCCTTTTATTCTATTGGCTTTTGAAAGCCAATAGAATAGACTCTCTTGAATAGAGTCTAATTCTATTGGCTTTCAAAAGCCAATAGGAATTGTCCAGGCTGTCTCTGCCCTGCTAAGCCCGTCAAAAGTCCCATTCTACAAACGGTGCTGCACCAGTTGAGTAGTCCTCGACTTATGACCGGTTGGGGGGTCGCGGCATTAAAAAGGTTGAGAACCACTGGTTTAACAGATGAGGCCCAGAGTGTGTCCACCCTGTTGGATCTAATGGGACAAGCAGAACAATGAGAGAGAGAGACAGTCCTCTGCATATGAGCATAGTGGCTCATGAGGTTAGGACACTGGGCTGATGTTCGTCAGCTTCGCATTTGAGACCTATTTGCCAACGCGGGATGGGGTGAGCTCCCGTCACACGCTGACCCAGCAATTTGAACCTGGGTGATTGTGAGTAGATAAATGGGCACCACGTTGGTGGGCAATTTAACAGGGACATGAAAGGAGCCCCCAACTGGTCATCCCCAGGACAAGGGTGATGTCACTGTTCAATCCTTTCAACATGGCAACGCTTCTGCGCTCTCCATTGGACTGTAGTAGTAGTAGCAGTAGCAGTCCTCCATCATTTTCTATGCATTCCTAAGAGCGAGGCCGAGCTACACAACACACCAGCTGTAACAAAACCTCAGCTGTCACCCTCTGAACGATTCTACTCTTCCCAATTCCTCTTTGCTCCCATTTTTGCTCTGCTCCTTCTGGATTCGCCCTCAAACTCCAAACCAGCCTAGCTAATCCCATCCATCCTTCCTGTAAGTCAGTGGTTCTCAACCTTTTTATACGGCGACCCCGGTCATAAGGACGTGCCGCGCATGGGGGGTGCGGCGCACATGTGTGGCGCCGCCCCATGCGGGGGGCGGTGCACATGCGGGGGGCGGTGCACATGCGGGGCGTTGTTTGGCGACCCCCGTAAAATGGTCGTTCAACTCCAAATGGGGTCGCGACCCTCAGGTTGAGAACCGCTGCTGAAAGTCCTCGGCTTATCACCAAAACTGGAACTGAAACATCCATCGCTAACTGAGGTAGTTGCAAAATGAGTCACGCCTGATTTTCCCATCTTTTTTGCTACTCTTGTTAAACAAAGCACCCTGCTTCTTAAGTGAATCCGTCTTCCCCCCGTGTCTTTGCTTGTCAGAAGCTGGCTGGGAAATCGCAAATGGCGATCATATGAACCCGGGATGCTGCAACTGTGGTATAAACATATGTTAGTTACCAACTGCCTGAACGGTGATCGCATTATAGCAGGGATGAAAGTTGTAAATCACTTTTTTCAGTGCCAGTGTAACTTTGAATGGTGGCTAAACAAATGATGGTAAACTGAGTTTTTTGCAGAAGTGGAAAGTTGAACAGAATTTTAGGGAGTTGAAGTCCAGACATCTTAAAGCAGGGGTCTTCAAACTTGGCCCTTTTATGACTTGTGGACTTGTGCCTGGCTGAGGAATTCTGGGAGTTGAAGTCCACAAGTCATAAAAGGGCCAAGTTTGAAGACCCGTGTCTTAAAGCTACCAAGTTTGAAAACCATTGTTCTAGCCTATCATCACCACCTTTAAAAGAGAGAGGAAAAAGCCATGTGAATAGAAAACACCCACCGCCCCAGATCACATTAACTATGGAAGGCCAGTTTGCACTCTGAAAAATAACATATACCTACCTCATTCCTTTAAATTATTACCAGAACGATAAAAAGATCTGAGGTTGTCTCATGCTTGCTTTCCTAATAGTTTTAACTGTATCTGGAAATCCCGGTGTTTATTTATTTGGAAATCCGTGTATCACATTTGCAGAACAATAGAAGCTATCCAAGGAATTTCCCTACTTCAAGAATGGTTTAGAAACCTCCTTTGATGGAGTGAAAATACTGACGCATATGTGTCTCATGCGTAAACACTTCATTTTTTAGCAGCGGTGTGTGAATGTACGTGTGTGGGATCTTTTCTTATTTTGGTGCCCCACCTAAATCTGCGTTCACAGATTTATGCCCAAAATTCACTGCAGAGAGAAAGGGGTCTCTGTAGTGAGAAAGGGATACCCGAAAACGTTAATTTGGTGAAGTTTGTTCATTGTCATTCTTTCTCACCTAAATCTAATTTATTAAGACTTTCCTATTTCAACTCCCAATGGCCTTTTTTTCTAATCCAGAGCCAGTTCAGTGCCCCATCCCAGCATTAGAGTACCTGCTGAGTAGCAAATACTAATAATAGATGGCCTTTTCTGCTTTGTCCCTGTTCTACTTTTTGTCAAATCAGGTTGGTTTGGGTTATTTTTTCTTTTTTGAAAGGGGGGACTAACGTCCCCTCCCCAATATAGTACATCAATAGAGGCAGAGAAACGAGGCGGCAGGAATAGCCTCAGGTAAAGTCCAAAGAGGAATAAGAGAAATATGATAAATAATTAAAGGACAAGCCGGGGGGGGGGGCAGAATGAATGAGAGTTCAATGCAAAAAGAAAAGTGATTGAAAAGAACCATCAAATTGGATGGGATTTGGGGAGTTAAACTAACTCAAGCTATTCTGCCCAGTTTGACACACAAAATCCAGAGCATCCCCAAAAGTCCTTGCTTGGAAGATTTTTTTTTTTTTTTCCTCAATCTGTGCTGCTGCAACTTTTACTGAGCCAATTAACATAACGGCAAAATTCCAGAAGGGTTCAGAGAGAAAGCACAGAATTTAATACTCTGAGCTTTGCGGTTTGTCCCCCAATCTTTACTGGTTCTCTTTGAGGGGTGGTTATTAGAAAAAGAACGAGCCACCCATCCGCTCACCTTCCTACTATTTCTAATCGCCGTTAGTGATGAAGCAAGTCTATAAAATATCAAGGCTGAATTATTTAGTATTTCAGCATACTCATTCCCCTCAAAGGAGTTTTGAACAGCCTGCCTGATTCTGGCACGATCACTTTATTCTCCTTTTACCACAATGTAGTGGCTGAAAAAGGCAGTTGAGTGTCATAGTTAAGGTACTGGACTGGGAGCAGAGGTGATTCAGAGTACAGCCACTGTCTCAACCCAGCCAACTTCACAGAGCTGCTATTGTTGTTGGTGGAGGGGGCAGAGAGGGGGAGAAATGGAGGAAAACACCACACAGCTGCTTTGAGCTCCTGTGTGAACAACAGAATATAAATCTAAGAAATAGAGAATAGAATAGAATACTATAACAGAAGAATAGAATAGAATAGAATAGAATAGAGTAGAGTAGAGTAGAGTAGAGTAGAGTAGAGTAGAGTAGAGTAGAGTAGAGTAGAGTAGAATAGAATAGAATATAGGATGGAATGGAATAGAAAATGGAATAGAATAGAAATATAGAATAGAATAGAAATATAGAATGGAATAGAAAATGGAATAGAATAGAATAGAATAGGATAGGATAGGATAGGATAAGACAGGACAGGACAGGACAGGACAGGACAGAATAGGAGTTGGAAGGGACCTTGGAGGTCTTCTAGTCCAACCCCCTGCTCAGGCAGGATACCATTTCAGAACTGTTTGTTGGAAAGGCGAGCCTATTCACTACTTTGTCAGCACTGCTCTGAGGTGAGAATTATTCTCTGTCCCAGATCTATCCATATGATCTGAACCAAAACTGGATTAAGTGTATTGTGCAAGCCAGCCAGATAAGAAGACACCCAGAAGACAACAGTATCACTCCAAACTGCCTGATCTGCGCTCAGCCCACATCATACCCCTCCCAGTTCAGACCATCAGTTTCACTGTGCTTCCTCCCCCGTTTTCTCTCTCCCCCCCCCCTCCCAACCCAGACGTCCTTCCTTTCTGCAACCACTTCCCTGTATTCCAACTTACTGACAAACAGCCCTTAGCCCAGGGGTCTTCAAACTTGGCCCTTTTAGGACTTGTGGACTGCAACTCCCAGAATTCCTCAGCCAGGCATGCCTGGCTGAGGAATTCTGGGAGTTGAAGTCCACAAGTCCTAAAAGGGCCAAGTTTGAAGACCCCTGCCTTAGACCAGTGTTTCCCAAACTTGACAATTTTAAGGCATGAGGACTTCACTCCCAGAATTCCACAGCCAGCGTTGCTGGCTGCTGGCTGTGGAATTCTGGGAGTTGAAGTCCACATGCCTTAAAATTGTCAAGTTTGGGAAACACTGCCTTAGACGAAGGGAGAAGGACACAGGGGTCCCTCTTTCAGTCTTCCTAACAACCCCACGAGGTAGGCCAGACAGAGACACCATAAGCACAAGGTCAGCCAATGAGAATACGAATCCTGATCCGAAAGTGAAACACGGGTGTTTGAAGGCCCCTTGGAGGTCCGGATGTTTCCTCGCCTTCACCCCAAGGACTTCCCATCCCTGTTTGACAGCGGGCTCTGGATGTGGGGTTGACCTCCCCCCCCCCTCCCTTCTTCCCTCCCTCTCTCCTTGACGGCAGCCAACCAACCAATCTCCGCGCGGCTGCCCTTTTCAGTGTGACAGCAAAAGCGCCGGACACCCAAAACCGACGGCTGCTTTTCCTTCCTTTCCGGATCGCCCCGGACATTTCCTATCTTGGACAGGTGGGGAGGGAAATCCCCACCCGCCTCCTCGCGAGGCTTGTCCTTTGGAGAACGCAGACCCAGCCTTCCCCCGTGCTCTCCTCCCACCCCCCCACAAGCCACTGGGAAGGATGGGAGTTGTAGTCCCAGCCTCCCCCCCCTTCCCCGAAAGCAAAAGAGGGGTTAGGAATCCCACCACCCGGAGAGCATAATGACACACCCAGCATTAGAGATCGCGGGACGGTGTATGTGTGTATGTGTGTGTCTGTGTGTCCCCCGACCCAGTTTTTGTTTCCTCTCCGTTCCCACGACCCCGAGACTCCTCTCCCCCAGGTGTAGAAGGAGCGGATCGCCCAAGCTCGGCCGTGTCCTCCATTTTGTTCTCCCCCTCCCGCCGCCGCCGCCTCCTCCTCCTCCTCTCCTCCACCGCAGGACCATGCAAGGCGGTGGATCGAGGCTGGCTCCACTCCCCTCCCCCACCCTCCGTAGGCCTGGGAGGCCGGAAAATCCGGGATCCCTGCCGAAGAAAGGGAGCGCCCTGGAGGATCCGGCCGGGCTCCGGGGCAGCAGCGGCGGCGGCTCGTCCTGCCCTTACCTGGAAGCAGCGGCGGCGGTGGCTGTATCCAGTCCGGGTTCCAGCATGTCCATGGGGGGAGAGGGGAGGGGGAGGGGGAAGGGAGAGGGAGGGGGCGCCCCGCTGGCCCCAAGGGGGACGGGTGGGGGGGGGAGGAAGCAGGAGAAGGAGGGGACGAGTTTTAAATCTCACGCCGGATGGAGGTAGAGGGGACGCGGAGGAGACACGGGAGCCGAGGCGCTGATCACGGGGACAAACACTCGGGTCATGTGAGAAGGAAAGAGCGAGCGAGCGGTTCTCTCCCTCCCTCCTTCCCCAGCTGGGAGCCCGGGACACGTGAGGGGGAAGAGTCGGGAGAAGAGCGTGGGAACCGCAGGAGGAGGAGGAGAAGAAGGACGAGGAGAAGGAGGACGAGGACGGCGTCGAGGCCCCGGGAAGCCCGGCTCAGCCAGCGCGGCTGCCGATGGAGCGTCCGCGGCCTGCTTCGGAGCGTCGGCGGGCAGGCAGCGGATGGAACGTTGCAGCAAGACGGAGCGAGAGGGGGAGGGGAAATGGAACGTTGCGACGATCCGGGGCGGGGGGAAGAGGGAGGGGTGGGAATGGAACGTTGCAACCTCGCGGATGGAACGCGGCGGGGTTCGATCGAACGTTCAGACAACAGCAGCGGCGCCGCGCGCGTGGGGGGGGGGGAAGCCGGCGGAGGGAGGGCTTTTTGTATCTACATCGCGGGAAAGAGCGGAGGAACGAAGCGGGCAGAAGAGGACGAGAGTGCGGAGGGAGGGAGTAGCCGAGCGCGATCGGCTGCACTCGTTCGCTCGCTTCCTCCTTCCCTCCGTGTAGTCCCCAGGGCGCATGCGCGCAGTTTCAAGGGCATCGGCTTCTAAGAAGGGATAGTTTTATTTGGGGGGGGGGGGAAGAGAAAGGGAGAAGGTTGAGCTCGCAGGAAGCGGGAGTCTCCCGTACGCCCTTCTCTATAGAGCAGGGGTCTTCAAACTTGGCCCTTTGATGACTTGTGGACTTCAACTCCCAGAATTCCTCAGCCAGCAACGCTGGCTGAGGAATTCTGGGAGTTGAAGTCCACAAGTCATCAAAGGGCCAAGTTTGAAGACCCCTGCTCGCTATATAGGAAGGCCTGTGCATTGTTGCTAGCCCGTTGCGATTTTTGTATTTCAAACTTGCAGGGCGGGACTTGGGCGAGCCACCTTGCGTTGGGTGTCCCTAGCAGTTGTAATGTACACAGGGCGATGCAGGGGATTGCGGAACTAGGACGTCGGGAAGTCGGATGGGGCTGGGTTCGGACAGACGCTGAGCCACCGCAGAACAAAACAAAACAACAAAAAACCCCGAAGGGACATTGTATCGAATTTTAAATCTTGCAGGCTGTGTGTGAACGGGGTCCGAGCGAAGTTCCGTGCAGCCTCTTTGCAGGCCGTTCGAATTCGATGAGAAAAATCGAGCAGATTCTTAGGCAAAAGCGGTGGAATTGGATGTGTGTGTGTGTGTGTGTGTGTGTGTGTGTTTATAATTTGGACGCGCGGAGGAAAAGGGGGCGCCAGGTGCCATTTCGTGAGGGAAGAAACGTGTCAATAACAAGCTTATTCTGCTAGGTCACAGTGACTGAGTTCACACAGTGCGCTGGGTAGGCCCAATATGGCTTAGTCTTAGTGCGAGGTGGAACCGGGCTTCTAGACAAGCCAGGATTAAAGCAAGCCGTGGCATGGTTTCATGTTCGAAATTCAGCTCTTGTTCCTTTTTTATCCGCTGGTATAGATCCTAATGCTCAACGAATTTTTTAAAGTTCACACTGGCTGGTTGTTTGAACCTTTGTTAATCAACAATAAAATTTCATGAGTATAAATCAGAGGCCGGCAACCTTGGCTCTTTTATGACTCGTGGACTTCAACTCCCAGAATTCCTGAGACAGCCATGCTGAGGGGAAAGGGAGAGGTTTCAGGAATTCTGGGAGTTGAAGTCCATGAGTCATGAAAGAGCCAAAGTTGCCTACCCCTGGTATAAATGGACTGTGTGGCATGAGTGTCTGTGGAGATTCTCAGTTATCCAGGTCATGGTTGGCCCCAAAGGTGCTTTTTTTCAGGAGGCACCTGAACTTTTGCGTTTTTTTCTTTGAAGGCCTTTTGCTTCTCATCCAAGAAGCTTCTTCAGCTCTGGCTCACCTTCCAGTCAGAGCTGAAGAAGCTTCTTGGATGAGAAGCAAAAGGTCTTCAAAGAAAAAAAACGAGAACATCCAGTTGCCTCCTGAAAAAGCACCTTTGGGACCGTGTCGTGAGTATTGAACTTTTCAGAAACTCTACCTACACTGTACAAATAATATTAAAACTGAAATATTGACAGTATTACATCCAAAAATTTACTGGTGGGCAAAAAAAGGAACAAGCCCCTGAATTCATTGAGTTTAGTGAGATTTTTCAGTGGAGTGTTTGTAAACAGTGACAGCTTAATCAGTGTTTCTCAACCTTGACAATTTTAAGGCATGTGGACTTCAACTCCCAGAATTCCACAGCCAGCATAGTTGGCTGTGGAATTCTGGGAGTTGAAGTCCACATGCCTTAAAATTGTCAAGGTTGAGAAACACTGGCTTAGATTGTCTAAATCAGAGGTAGTCAACCTTGGCTCTTTTATGACTTGTGGACTTCAACTCCCAGAATTCCTGAGCCAGCATGGCTCAGCATGGAAACCTCTGCTTTTCCCCTCAGCATGGCTGGCTCAGGAATTCTGGGAGTTGAAGTCCACAAGTCATAAAAGAGCCAAGGTTGACTACCCCTGGTCTAAATAACAGATAAAAATAGACTCCTGTTCTTTTTTTGCAAGTGGCTAGTATTAAAATCTCACGTCTGAAAAGATTTCGCCTGCCATGGATATAATTGATTGGTACGATTATACCTGTTGTGATTATAGAATGGGTACAATTATTTGCACAGATAATTCTCAAAAGTTGATAGATAATTCTAGCTCTTATGGAGAAGGACAGGGAGACAAAACAAGGGGATATAAATTGATTACTGCACAAAATTGTGGGCAAAAGCTTTTTGACCGGCAAAAAAAGAGACAGTTATTTAAAATGGGGAGTTTAAGGCTAGAAAGTGGCCAATTCATTCCATTCTGTGGAATACAAAGGCTGAATTCACCCACTATGTCTAAACGAAGCTATACTGTGGTTTAATTTATAAAGGGTCCTGTTATGGGAAATACTGCCTGTCCTAGACTAAAATTGCCTGTCCTGGCAATTTTAAGATGTGCGAACTTCAGCTCCCATAATTCTGAGGAATTCTGGGAGTTGAAGTCCACACCTCTTAATTAACCATAATTTATTTGTGCAGATATCAGTCATTGGAAATACAGTTGTTTTTTGTTAAACAGGGTTTACAAATGTTGTGGGTATTGGGCCTGAGCCCTGAACTCTTAAACTGTTATTTCTGCCAAGAATGAGGTGGGTTGTGGGTTGTTTTTTGCAGCCCTTAGTCTGGGAGAGGCAGTGTGTTTCTCTTACATCCCTGCAGACATTTTGCTCAGATCTGCCAAACTCACTTTCTATTTTATTTTTGGATACCTTCAGGTGTGCTTACTGGGGATTTAAAAAAGTCCGGATTGCGGGACAACAGCCATGTGATGGAAGCACCGTTGTACCCCATGTAAAAAATAGTTAATTAGATTATTAATTAGATGATGTAAGATGGTGAGAAATAGAATATATTCAAATAGATAAGACGTGTATCCCGAATATTAGACTTTGTGATGAATTGTGTTAAAGGGAATTTTGGTCACTTAAAACTTGGAAATTATAAATTTTAAATGTAAATATTAATGGGAAACTAAAAATTGGGAAAAACTAATTAGGACATTGATTGTCTATAAAGACTGAATGTTAAAATAACCAGGATGTGTATAAGCTAAAAAGTATTGATAAATGTAAGAATGTTATTTTTATTTAATTGATATAATAAGAATTGTATTAGTTTAAATATGAGACAGTAAATACTAAGCGGAAAAGAGAGGAAATATTTAATGAGGTAGTTTGAGACTTGTACTAAAGATACTTGTATGTCATTGAATTTTCGATTAACTCAGCTGGCACGTTGCTTTTTAAATACTTAAATGTAAAATTAGAAAATCAATAAAACATTTTTTAAAAAAATGGTTAAGGCTTTGGTCGCTTAGTTGTGGCTTCTGTTCTTTTTTTTACCTTCCTGGATGCTCTTATGCTAGTTGAGCGTATGCTGATGACAGCCCTTTGAGGTGGACAAAATTAGGAAACCAGTTTCATGCGTGCTATTGCTGCTTTTGTTAGAAGGTCATAGTTACAGAGAAACAAGAATCTGAATGTGCTTCCCCTTTCCTTCCTTTCTTCCTCTTTGTGAGAATGAGGGAAAATGCTGCCTGAAATGCTTTCTCCAATTACATTTCTGCCCTGGACTCAAGTTTCATTTATCTGAATGTTGTTGTCTCAATAGGCTCTTCCTCCTGTTGATCAGGTTATTCCTTCTGCCCGGTCTGCCTGCCTGCCTGCCTGCCTGTCTGTCTGTCTCCTTCCTTCCTTCCTTCCTTCCTTCCTTCCTTCCTTCCTTCCTTCCTTCCTTCCTTCCTTCCTTCCTTCCTTCCTTCCTTCCTTCCTTCCTTCCTATCCATCCATCCATGTCTGTCTGTCTGTCTGTCTGCCTGCCTGCCTGCCTATCTATCTATCTATCTATCTATCTATCTATCTATCTATCTATCTATCTATCTATCTATCTATCCAGTGATTCTCAACCTTTCTAATGCCGCGACCCCATAATACAGTTCCCCATGTTGTGGTGACCCCCCAAGTGCGTGTGGCCACCAATAAGAGGGAGTAGGACAGCTAGGGAAAAGGGAAAAAAATGGCGGACAGCATGGTTTGGCGACCCCCGTGAAATGGTCATTCGACCCCAAATGGGGTCCCGACCCACAGGTTGAGAACCACTGATCTATCATCTTCTATCATCTATCATTTATGTATATCCATCTACTAAACCATCTGTCTGTCTATCTATCTATCTATCTATCTATCTATCTATCTATCTATCTATCTATCTATCTATGTAATCTATCATCTTCTATCATCTATCATTTATGTATATCCATCTACTAAACCATCTGTCTCTGTCTGTCTGTCTATCTATCTATCTAATCTATCATCATCTATCATTTATGTATATCCATCCACTCAGCTGCCTGTCTGTCTATCTGTCTGTCTATCTATCTATCTATCTATCTATCTATCTATCTATCTATCTATCTATCTATCTATCTATCTATCTATCTATCATCTAATCTAGAGACTGCCCATCCCACTCACAGGGTGACTACCATACCACATAGGACCCGTAAGTTTTTTTTTTTAAAAAAAAATACAAAACGGCCGAGGGCTGCATGTATTGCAGGGTTTTTTCAGAAACAGAGTCACTTGTTCATTACAAAAAAAAAAAAAAAGATAATTCGTGGTGCTGAGCTTCCTACATGAACTGGAGGGAGTGGTCGAAAGCTTATCAGTTTATCTTCTGATAACTGGGCGTTCCTTTTCCTACAGAAGCC